GACGTCTGGCCTGTGTGTAAGGCCCACGTGAAAGGCTCGCACTATCATCCTGCTGGGCCTGCCACGGCAACTGCAGGCGGGACTTGAAATCCAACCAATCCAGGAGCTCTGCTCATGGCAACATAACCATCAACGCGATCAATGGCCCTGCAGTCTTGCTTGGAAGATGAACGAGTTGTGCTGGAGATGGCTTGGGAGGGTCTGCAGGCCCAGGGGACAGACAGGTGGACATGGGCCCTGGGAGGGCAGTCCTTGAGCTGTGCACCTGTGAGCTCTCCAGGGCCCATGCATACAGCCACTTTAGGAACTGAACAGTGCTTCAGAAATGACTCATGTCAGTCTCTGTACTGACAAGAAAGCGAGGCTAATGTGCTCATCAATGTGTACAGAAGACAAAGTAGGTACACACACTGAATGGCACAGTATACAGACTAACAAAAGGAACTCTTGCCATTTGCAACAATACCTAGACTCATACCATTCATTCATTAGGCCAGCCAGACACACCTGCTGTGGATGCCAAACCTAAAACCTTCCATTCCCAGAAGCAGAGTCGAACAGTCTCCCAGAGCAGAGGCTGAGAAGCCAAACGACAGTGCAGCAAGTGGAGGGGGCTCACCTGGAGGGAGTCGGTGGTGTGGCTGGTGGGCAGCCCGCTCTTGCCGTAGCCTTGGCCGTGGGCTGTGAGGAGGCGTCCGCACAGGTCCACAGCTGCCCTCCAGTTTTTGCAGCTCTGTAAGACAGAACAGGACACAGAACCGCATGCATGTGTCACTTTGCTGGAAGAAGCTCCACTCAGCATCGGCTAAGGCTGGTGGCTGTCCAATATGGAGAGCCATTTGAGACAATCAAATCCGAGGACATCAAAATTTAACAACTGGTTGAACATGGGGAGGAGAGTTCTTACTGGAAAGCTTTCCTTGGCCCAATCTATACAAGACAGCTCTATCTTGTGATTTCTTTTTTTTTTGTCGGTCATGGGGCTTAGACTCTGGGCCTGGGTGCTGTTATGCAGCTCTTCAGCTAAAGGCTAGCGCTCTACCACTTGAGCTACAGCACCACTTCTGGCCTTTCCTGCTTATGAGGTGCTGAGGAATCGAACCCAGGGTACCTCATGCATGTGAGGGAAGCACTCTACCACTGAGCCTCCTTCCCAGCCCCTATCTTGTGATTTCTGTGAATTTAAATTCAATAATTTAATTTTATGCTATGTGTTAGAAATATTTATTCATATCTATAAGATACAGAATGGGGGCTGGGAAGGTGGCTCAGTGGTAGAGTGCTTGCCTCCCATGCATGAGACACTGGGTTTGATTCTTCAGCACCAGAAAAGGCTGGAAGTGGCTCTGTGGCTCAAGTGATAGAGCGCTAGCCTTGAGCTGAAGAGCTGAGGGACAGCGCCCAGGCCTACAGTTCAAGCCCCATGACCGACCAAAAAAAAAAAAAGATATAGAATGGACTATATTTTCAACAATTTCATTTTGTCACTATGAATACAGTGACTCAAGAATGCCATCAATGTTCTTCTGTCACACATCAGTTTACCCCATCATACTACATACACTACATTACTGGAACCATGGGATGGTGGTGGCCACCGACAAACACTGCCCTCTATAGGAAGAGGGCAGCCAGGCAGCCAAATGGACAACATCAGAGAAAGATGGTCCCTCTGTCAAGACACAAAGGGAATTCTCGATACCTTCTATGTAACAGGCACCATGCTGTAGATGTGCCCATGTGTACATTCAAAAAATGGGCTGTAAGTACCTCCTGTCGGGCAAAGGGTTCAAGGACAAAGTGGTAAACGAACTCTTTAATTGTTGGATCTAGCAAGGAAGACAAATATTAGATAACATGGTTTTTTTCAAAGGTAAATTGATTTGTATATACCAAGTGTTTCTTGAACAGTAAGTTTAGGGTGCCTTGAGGCTGGGTGGCCAGGCAACCTCAGATGGGGTGGGAAAAGGTCGGGGAGAAGAAGGCACCTGCAGGTCCCTGAAGTTTCCTTAGGACAGGTAGGTTTTGAGCAACAGAGCAAACCCAGGTGGGTGACTAGGACACAAATGAAAAGAGAGGGAGACATGGCTGTGACACAGTGGGGAAGCAGGGGGGGTAGGGGGAGAAACAAAGGAGAGAGGGAGGGAGGGAAAGAGAAAGGGAGGGAGGAGGGGAATGGGAGAGAGAGAGAAAGAGAGAGAGAGAGAGACAGGTACACACACATACAAGAGAAGAAAGAAAATTCTGGACTTCAGACCAGGTAGAGTCCAGACTCACCCTGAAGGGTTTCACGAATCTGAAATGTGAGGCAGAGCACGCACCCTTTCTGCATATGAACTCGCCCTTCTGCACAGCAGAACTCTGCATGAGTTAGTTCAGGGTCTCATTGAGCTTGGCTGAGCTTACAGATCTGGGACCCAGACCCTGCCTCTCAGGGGTGAGGATGGAATCCGGTGTTCTACATGCGGACGCTGAACCCGGTGCCAAGCACATGGTGGGCACCTATCCAGTGTGCTCCAGCCTCAGTGTGATGTCCTTCATAATGCTGCCAGGCAGGCGGATGGCAGCGCCCTGCGGGAGAACCTTTCCTCTTCTCCCTGACTGCAGGACAGCCTGGACTCTGTGCCAACCAGCTGCTGAGCAAGTCCACCGTCTCTGGGCTGCCCACATCCCACTGAATACATGTGCACTGGTCTTTTGACTCACTGACGGAAGGCCATCTTGGGTCCACTGGTTTTGGGCATTCTGAACAAGGTGCTGTAGATGCCTGTGTGCAGTGCTGTGTGCCCCTCACAGTGTTCAATTCAACGGGGCACCTCCTGGTGGGGAGTGTGGTAGTTTCACTGCTGGGTTGTTTTACAAGGACAGGCTGGCTGCTTGCCAGAGTAGCTGTCCCGGTTTGCATTCCCACCTGCATCAACTGGAGTTCCTTTGCTCCACGTCCTCGCCAGCACTCTGGTGGTCTCTGGACATGAGCCTCTCGCACGGGTGCTGAGGCTCTCACGGCCTGACGTGCTCCTCAGCACTCCTCTTCCACGTGATCCTCTGCGGCCTGGCACCGGGCAGTCCACAGTGCCGGCCAGCCAGCTGCAAACGTAGATGACTCAATGTCGTTTCTCAAAATACTTCCCATGGCTTTCCTCCCTTTGGATGAAGAAACAGCTTATACCCAATGCAGTCAGGTCTCCAATGGCTAGAACAGCCCCCGGACTGGGTACTGCATTCCACATGCAGTGACTCTGTCTTTGCAGCCATGCAAGCAACTTTGAGAGCCAGTGGTCAACTATGAAGATGAAAATATGCCACATTCCTCCCAACTGTCCAAATTATGGTAAAACAGCTTCAAGTAATACGTACTCTCATGTTCTGGTGGACAGATCAGAAATATTTTTAGAGTCACTGAGATAATTTGCTGAAATGATCTCCAAATGCTTTCTCTAGTCTAAATTTGATGCAATAATCACTTTATGCAGCACAAGTGGCTATGTATATATTCTCTTTGAATTGCAAATGGTGAAGAGCAGGAAAGATCTTCTGCCAAGTCTGGAGCAGCTCTGCATCTGTGTCTGTCTGATCCACCACCAGCACAACCGCTCGCCGGCCGCCTCCTAGCGCCTGGCCAAGTGTGCTGGCCTTGCCTGCTGGGGGCACTTACCGAGAGCGCAGAAATCGCAAGACACTCTGGGTAAGTGTGTCACGACACATGTGTGCTCAGGCCCACATACCTGTCCATGAACACACATTTATGACAGCAATATCACTTGTTGGCAAAGAAACCATCAGAGCTGGCGGCACTGGGGTAGAGTCTTGCAAGATGAACCAGAGATGCCTATGGACCAAAGACCGCACCTTATGCAGGGGTGGTGGGTGTGGGCACTACACAAGCCACAGAGACTGTGGCCCGTCTGTGGACTCAGAAGAGACTTTCTGACGAGGGAGCAGAGCACACAGCAAACTGTGACTGAGCCGGGGGTACAGCGGGGGTGGAGGTGGTGGTGAAAAGGCTGGTCCTGGGAATTGAGCAGTGGGTGACAGGCTCAGATAGCTGCGGAGCAACTGCTGCAGGGCAGGTGCAGGACAGGTACTGACAGGGGCAAGGCAGGTGCGGGACAGTTTTCTAATTCTTTTTTTTTTTTTGTCG